GCCAGTCAGCGCTGGAGGATTGGAGCGGGGAGGGGGGAATCCAGCCCCTCCCCTGTCATGGCAGAGAGCTGTGACAGGATTGAGAGGTGAGCGAACGCCGATATGTGTTCGCTCACCTCCCGATCTACAAGGGTCGGCTAGAACTATGAGGTGAGTGAAAAGCACTCACCTCATAGTTCTCCTTTAAAAAAAAAAGGTACTTGACTGCAGTTTTAAGATTTAAAAGGAGAACTATGAGGCGAGTGATTTTCACTCATCCTCATAGTTCTAGCCAACCTGTGACAATGAGACTGTCACAGGTCGGCTCAGTAGATCGGGAAGTGAGGGAACACATACCGGCGTTCGCTCACTTCTCGAGCCTGTCACTGCAGAGAGCCGTGACAGGGGAGTGACTGGACCCCCCGCTCCTCCAGCGCCGACTGGCTTAACGGACGGGGCGGGTAAAGCTGGCTCTGCCTCTAGATAGGCAGAGCCAGCTGTCACTCACGCAGCTGGGTGGATCCAGACATAATTGTCGGGATCAGTTTCAGCATCTCAGTATACCTTGGGTGACGGGGCCTTGGGTGACGGGAGGACGCTAGTTTGTGTCCTCCCGTTACCCTTAGGAGAAAAGCCCTAACCCCATAGTTCTCCTTTAACTCCCGAGTTTAGTGTCCCTTTAAATATGGATAATGCATAAGGTGACACTAGCAGGTATGCATGTACAAAATGTATCTTGCAATTTAGGGAGTTTGCATTACAAAATATATATGTTTTAGTTCCGATTTATTTCCTAAAGAAAACCTTCATAAGAGAGACACTAGAGTCAACTGCATTCCCAGAAAAATCAGCTTATGTATGTGTCTGAACATACACATACCACCTTTTAAACTATAAACAACCTTGTATAATATATCCCAGAGGCTTTGATGATTTGCCATCTGATAAATATAAGACATAACCAATATCACTTAGAGCCGCAGCCTAAGATATTAATCAAATGTCTTGTAAAAACAGTAATACGCATCTGCCTTTAGGTGATGAAATAAAACGGCTATTCAAAACATGACACTTCTTTCCAAACACAATTTTTGTTTTTGTGGTTTTAACATCAGGTCTCTCAAACAAAAGTATTTGCTTCTTTAGGCCTCATTCACACTGCCGCACATATACGCGCCCATATGCAACACATGCAAATAAATGGCTCCATACACATAGCGCGTATGGAGTCGTATATTTGCGTAGCGTATATATGCGTAAAAACAGAATGGAACAGAGATGCATCCGGGTAGCGTATTTACACGCGTATACGCACGTACAGCACATTAAAAATCCCATTACGAGTGATGCATTCTGGGATTGCATATAGTGCACGCATATCCAATTTTGCTTGCGTTGTGTGGGCCTTAGTGATCAGCATTTAGGAAATGTTGGTGTTTGTGACCAATTCATACACTGTACCTGTTAGAAACAGGTACATGAATCTGTCGCATGGAGGCCAGCACTGGGGAGGGGTAGCCATACCGGACACTCCATCCTCAGGGCAGCTCAGGCCTTATTCATACCGAGCGGTTTTTGGAGCTTTTCCGCAAAAAATTAAAAGCCAAAAAAAGCCCCCCCATATTTAAACGGTCCTGTTAACATCTAAGCGTCATGTCGCCTCTAGCAAGACATATTTTGTAGCACGTATTTACTTTAATGGAAAAGCGCAAAAACATGAATTTGTGCATATTTTCACATG